GCGTATTAAAGCATGTCTTGTAACGCCAGCTGGGTATAGGATCAAAGCAGATGCCAATATTCACAACGAAAATGCATTAGAGCGCAGATCTCCGCAACCGTTCTCTCCATTTTTGAATGTAGTAGTGCCCCAACGCCTCTTCTCACCCTGAAAACCTTACAACTTGAAAAGTCCGAATCTGATGTTTGGTTACTTAATGACAACAACGGATCCAAGGGTTACAGTTGGCTTCCAAGTCCGAATACATTGAACCGTTCCTGCCAACCTACAACCGAGAAAGCCACAAAGCACGGCTATCAAAGCCAGTGAGGTACCATAGCACGGACAGATCCAATAAGCAAAGTGAAGATGTAAAGGACCTCAGGCCGCCGCAGCAACCACCTTCAACTTTGGACGTGGTAGAGCCATGACGCGTCTCCTCACATCGCAAACCTTATCTACCTGGAAAAAACACATAACGTGGCTCAATCGCGGCTGCAACCGCACCAGTGTAAGCAACGCGTGTTCGCCATATCTAAATACCGTTTTACATGTACCAATCGCGCCGGCAAAACATCTTGCTAAAAAGTCCTTTCCAGTCGCAACACCGCTTACTCGCGACCACATGCACTTCAGATATTGCGAACGAAGCGTAGTCGGACGCAGCCGAATGGTTTATTTAATAAGGTGATTTACCTACCGGCGCCAGTTTCGCCCAAGCAATCTACCCTCACAAACAAGAACGACTACGCACCCCATCCAAGACAGTTTAGATTGGCCTCACCAAGTCTACCCCTATTATATGGGGCAATGCGGGACACGGATTGCCTTGTACATATCAATCAATGCAGTTCCATCTAGCATAACTCCTGCACCTTCTGCAAACAACCGTCTACGGAGTCTGAGCTTCATGGCTGCCTTCTTCGACGCACATTTGGCTACCTTCAAACATTCTATCTGCGAATGTGCTCCTGAACAATCCAACGTCATGCCAATTCAGATACCATGCCTTGCCAGGTAACAGATCCCATACAACCCATTTCCTCATCAGCTCGCTGACGAAGTAACCAACACCTATCCCACTTCTTCTCGTCCTGACGCTGCCTATACACACCTCGCTTTCACTCCCAATCCACCTTAGGTCTAAAACCCACACAAAGGACGGCCCCATGTCCACACCACTGCGCGCCTTTGTTTCACCACATCCTGGGCATCATATCAATATTTGCACATCCATAGAGAGCTGCCGAAAGCTCTCCCGCTTGTTTCAAACCCTTTTACTGGGAACTGCAAGTGATACCGCCCGCCAAGTCACATTCATCAAAAACACCCTCTCTCGCCGACATGTGCTGGCTTGTACACCTGATGGAGTTGTCCCCATGTAAGCAGCACCAGCACGTGCTGCTACATAGTCTGGTGTACGTAACCCGGGAACTGTAGGTAAGAGTGCAGTGAAAGTGCCTCCACCACCGTCTTGTAACGACACTACTATAGAATCTGGCAACACGATGACGAGACTGTGCGAACACGGCTCGTATACATGTTTCCTCCTCAAGTTACGCTCAGTAAAAATAACATGACCTTCTAGGACCCTTCTTTATTCTGTCAAGCCCTCACGTGGTTCTGTTACAGAAATATGCCACTCGGCCTACGCGTCTGACAGACCAATCAACATTCCAGGGCACACCACTTTCAGTAATTGACGTGCCAATAAAAGTGGCGGCGGATGCCGCATATACGTCAAGAACGCACTGTACGCATCTTCCCACCACACTATACCTCTTGGCAATTCTGAAGACATGTGTATTCAGGCCGTTGGAGGTCATCTTTACCACCTGATGGGCTGTTTACACAACCACCGATCTAGCGTTGACAAAATGGTCAAGCTCTTTCCCGAAGTCTCATTCCTCCTTGCACGCTATAAGATCATCGCTGGAAAATGCAATACGCCTCATTATTCGTGGCTCAGACAGTAAGTCCAAACTTAGTATAGGGCCCTTTTAGGTACGATTTTCATGCATGAATGGGCACAACATGTGAATGTACCGACTAGATAATCCAACCCACGGGACTTGATATTCATCACGGTATCCTGCAAGCAAGCACCAGTGTGTTAGACGACATACCGGGCAGCAACCACAAGGTGGGGAAGCTGTCAGTTGCGCTCCCTAATTCCCCTTTAAAATGCAATCACAAAATATGAGGTACTTCGGACTCTCCAGCGTATTAACAGGGAAATCTTTTCCTCCCGCCTCCCAGCTTCCCGCAGGGGCGACCTCTTCCTCTTCGACAATATAGGTACTGCGATCAGCGCGCTTCATAACAATTTCCATGGCCGCTTAGATGTCACTACTCCAAAACAGAGGAAGATCAGGAAGCGGCAAACGCTTGATGATGCCTCCACACGCAAATTGACCGACAGTCTTAAGAAAATACGCTCCCGCCACATCAAGGCCAAAGCCTCACAGCTGATCATCCGTATGAACAAAATAATAGCCGATTGGAGAGCTTCACAAAGTATTGGGTATACATTAGTGGAACACGCAGCGCTCTGTACTGAAAGCAAGGCAAAAACTCTTATTCGACTTATGAAGCAGTGATTTAGCAGCAACGATATTCCGATTAATACCTTCGTGCTTGCTGATAAACTTATAGCTACTGGTGCAGATGAAATTTACAAGTTCATTAACACTCATTTCGGGAACTCCTTCACAAGCAATGATTTGGAATCGCCAAATACCATCACAAAGTTTACTTAAGACCAAATACACACTATTGACTTTGACTTGTACGATATCAAACAAGAACTATGCTCGTTGAAACTGTCACCCCACCCATGGCCTGACAATGTCTCTTCTTCCAAATTACTTATCGTTGGCTCGGACATTCCAGTCCTTGGCCTCAATGCCTTTGCCAGATCAATGAAGCATGGTCATTACCCACCCACATACAAGCACGCAACCGTCATACCACAACACAAAAAGGGCTGTCGCCACCATATTGACAAATATCCTCCTATTATCCACACAAATATTGCGTCTCGACTCACGGAAAGAATAGTAAAGTAAGGGATGCTTCGCTTGCTACTTCAACACAACCTTATCAATAGGTCCCAACACGGGCCTCTGCAAACTAAATCCCGCTAACTTGCCAGTTTGAATGCTTAAACTACATGACACCCTCCATGGATTTAGGGTAGGCACCGTTCATTATCCTACTGTGGATGCAAAAGTGTTCGACTGGGTCCCACACACAGGTTTGATGACTTGCAGCAGTCTAGAGATTCCCCAGTTTGTCTGGGTAAAATTCTAACTAAAATTATTTCATTGTACACTTAGGCCACCGGTGTGGTTTGTTGAACTGATTGCTGAGTTCGAATGCTTGACTTGCTCCTCGCCATTTTTGCTTGACGCTCGTTTCGGTTGAAACTCGAGACTGCTGTCTGTGCTGTGCATGCTCCGTGCCCCTAGCTAGAGCGTCCACAGTGTCGTACTTTTATAGCTAGATAACAAGGAAACTTTCACTGTACCAATAAAGTTTTCCTGCAATTCGATCTGTCTTTCCGAATCGCTCCGGGAGCCCGGTACAGACGACTTCCTAAATTAGTGACCCTGTCTCCGGAACAATCTCAGCGCCGGATATTTGGAACTTTTCTCGGGTGAGCTCCTTCCATTGAGTTTTCAAATTTCCGGTTAATTTTTGCATATGGTAGCCTACTTTTTGCGTCATTTTTAGCCATGGATTCTGTAGACCCTAAGGTAGAGCCTCTGCTAAGCGTTGTAGCTTTGGGACATGAATCCCCTTTTGTGGTTCGCTCTTCTTAAGGCTGAGTTTTACAACCACAGAATCACTTCCGACTACGCAAAGCATTGCAAGCTCCTATCCTGCCTCCGTAATGAGATATCAATGCAGGTTCGTGACGTCATCATTACGCAGACCGAAAACAGCTATGAGGTTCTTAAGGAAGCCACGATTAAGCGTGTTATGCCCTCTGAGAAATTTCGCCTGCAGCAGCATTTCTGGGAGTTGCAGCTGGGCGACAAAGTGCCCCAAGCCTGCTACGAGAGATGCAGCAACTCCTTGGTTCCTCAACCATGGACGAGACGTCACTTCGCGAACTATGGCTACAGGGGCTACCGAAAAACACGGAAGCGATTCCCGCTACAGTGAGCTCCGTTTTACTCACTCAACTAGCTGATTTAGCGGATTGAGTTATTGAGCTATCAAAGTCACAAGCGGACGCCAGCATAGTCAATGCCGTCGCGCCCCAGGGCAATTCCATCACTGTCTTACAAACAACTATAGAAGTCCTCCAAACACCAGTTGCGACACTTAGTCGCCAGGTTCAACAGCTTACTATGAACCGTCGTGGTTATAGCCGCCTAAAGTCGCTTTTCAAACGTTCCACGTCTAGCAACAGGCAGATTAGCTGTTGGTACAATCAGCGTTTTGGTACCGCAGCTCACCAATGCGTAAATACATGCAACTTTGCCGCGAAGCAGGGAACATCTTGGCCGGTCCGTAACGGCGACGGACGCGACCGTCCAAAATCAACGTCGCCTCTTCCGCGGTAGGGATTTAACTTCCGGCACCGAGTTGCTAGTCGACCCTGGAGCCTAAGTTAGCTTTGTATCCCGTAGCCCAGATGAGGCCGTTGCACAAACTCTGACCAAGCTGCACGCGTCCAATGACACACTAATCGCAACTTTCGGCGGAAAGCTGCTAACGCTCAATTTAAGCCTCCGGCGAACCTTTCGCTGGCGTTTCATAATCGCTGCCGTGCTTTTCGCCATCCTAAGCATAGACTTCCTTCAAAGCTTTGACCTTATCGTCAACGCTAAAAGGAAGAAGCTTATCGACTACAGGACACAGCTCAGTGTTATTGGGACTGGTGTTAACCTGGCTGCTAGCACTCACAACCTTGTCCAACCTCAAGCTTCACAACGTTTTAAAGAACTTTTCAACAAGCAACCTAAGTCGTACTTCACCTGAACGACTTGCATCTTGTGACTTCAAACGTCATGCAGCACATTCGCATTAAGGGCCCACCTGTTTCGGCCCGTCCTCGCGGACTAGTCCCGGACACGCTCAGAGCTGCTAAGGCGAAGTTAGAGCAAATGCTCGAACTGGGAATCATTCGGCCGTTCAAAAGTCCATGGGCATCACCATTATACATCTTGCCGAAGAAATCCGGTGACTGGAGACCCTGTGGTGACTACAGGGCGCTTAACAAAGTTGCCGTCCCGGATAAACACCATATTCCGCACATGCACGAGTTGACCTCAGCTCTAGCTGGTAAGTCTAACTTTAGCAAAGTCGACCTCGTGCATGCCTACCATTTGATAACTGCCGCGCCAAACGGCATTGCTAAAACAACAGCCATCACGCCAATCGGCCTTTTCGAGGACCTCAGAATGCCTTTCGGCATCAGCAACGCAGCCCAAGCTTCTCAGCGTTTGATTTAGCAGATAACCAGAGGACCCGAGGGCGTTCATCCTTATCTAGCTGACATGCTCATGGCCAGCTCTTCCGACGAGGAACAACTTCATCATCTCGACGCTTTTTTACAACGCTTAACACAGCATACGGTTACCGTTAACCCGGATAAATGCGAGCTTGGCCAAAGTTCCATCGACGTTCTTGGCCATTGCATATCCGTCTCCGGTATTGAAGCTCTGCCAAACGAAATCCAGGCACTGAAGGACTATCCTGCTCCCAGTTCCTTCAAACAGTTACGCCGCTTCCTTGGCCTAGTCAACTATTATCGACGCATTATTCCTAACTGCGCGAGCATTGTTTAACCAATGACTGATTTGCTCCGCGGTAGCCAATGGTCTTTTCATTTTGCAGACGACGCTAGACTATCCTTTGAGAAGCTCAAAGACGCTATCTCTAACATAGCGCTTCTCGCCCATCCAGTCACAGCTGCACCACTCTCCTTGGCAACTGACGCAGCCGAGATTGCCGTCAGTGCAGTTCCTCAGCAATTCATCGGCCTCCGTTGGTTATCTCTAGGTTTCTTATCGAAACGTTTACAAGCTGCAGAATCGCGTTACAGCACCTTCGGTAGTGAAGTGTTAGCTATCGACCTAGGTATCAGACATTTCCGTCAATATCTCGAAGGGCGACATTTCTCGGTCTTCACTGACCAAAAGCCATTTATCTACGCAATCAATGGCGCAAAGGACAGGTATTCTCCGTGGGAAACTTGAAACCAAAACTACGTTCCTCAGTTTACGACAGACGTAGGACTTGTCTCAGGTGCTCTCACCCAGTTGCCGATGCGCTTTCACGCATTCAGCTGATCAGCTTATCGCCTGGCACCAACCTTGATCTAGCCGCTATGACTGCTGCCCAACACGCTGATACAGCCATAGACAAGCTACGACGTAACACCTCGTTGAAACTACGCTAAGTCCCACTATCTTCAGCTTAGGGGACCATTCTTTGTGACGTCTCACAAACTTCTCCCCGACCCGTAGTTCCTACCTCGATGCGTCGACTAGTTTTCAATGCTTTACACAACCGGTAGCATCCCGGCATACGTGCTTCGCAGAATCTCATAACGGAACCTTCCGTATGGCTCAACGTCCAACGCGTTGTCCGCCTTTGGGCACGCGCGTGCTTAGGGTGTCAGTGCGCCAAGGTATACAGACACACCAAAAGCCCACTTGGCGTCTTTCCCGCTCCTCACTCTCGTTTTGCACACGTTCATGCTGATTTGGTCGGGTCTTTTCCCCACGCAAAGGCTACGTGTACCTCCTCACTCGTGTCGACCGATTCACCCGTTAGCCAGAGGCGACTCCGACAGTCAACTGCTCATCTGAGACAGTTGCGCAAGCTTTCCTAGAACGCTGGGTAGCTCAATTCGGTTGCCCAAGCGTAGACATCACTGACAGTGGGTCACACCTTGACGGCTCCTTCACCAAACTGCTCAACGTTCTCGGTTGCCAAAATAACCGAACCACCGCATACAATCCCGCAGCTAACAGGATGGTGGAGAGGTTCCACCGGCCACTCAAAGCATCACTTTGTGCCAAACCTAACACACCCTAGCACGAAGCACTTCCGCTCGTTCACTTAGGCATAAGAAACATGATTAACGCAAATTTGCACGCCACTCCATCGTCGCTAGTCTTTGGAAGCACACAACGCTTACCTGGTGAACTCGTCTCAACACAAGCGCCGTAAACCTTCAACTATGGCGACTACGCAGCTCGCCTATTTCAGCACATGCGCCAGCTTCAGCCTGTGCAACGCAAAGCACAGCGCTTGCGTACCAACGTGGACGAACGCCTACCTACTTGTACGCATTCGTTCGTTTGCAATGGCAGCGTACGCCGGCCACCTCAACCTCCTTAATCTTGTCCGTGCCGCGTCGTACGTAGAAGCGACAAGACGTTTACCATTGACTACAATGGTAAGACTGAGACGATCAACGCGGATCGGCTCATGCCGGCATTCCTCGACAATTCTGACTCTTCGGTGCAAAAAGCACCTTCGCGGCCTGCGCCACCACAGCTCCCACCGCAACCTCAGACGGGTCATTTCCCTCCAACAACACCGACAACCTCAACCGACAACACTCCTACTCGCCCTGCTATCAATCGACGCGGTAGGAAGTTCGAACCGCCAGTTCGTTTTTCGGACTTCGTTAGCACTCACTATTTTACATAGAACGAGTCTTTGAAATATTCTGCTTTTACCAAACGTTTTTGAAAATCCATAAAAAGGATCATAAGGTTTTGAAACTACAAAAAAGAGATAAACCTTTTGCAAACCCAAACACAGTTTTGCACGTTATTCGCTTTGCACTCTTTTGTGTATGGCTATGCATTTATGATGCTTTTTCATTTTGCTTTCCCTATACATCGCCGGTTGGATGCATCTCGGTTTCACTTTCCGCTGGATCCCCGCACGTCAACTGGAAGTGGAACATAGATCCTGCTCAATTGCCTACATGACCTTCACTAATTGTCTCCCCACAAACAGTTTTAACCGTTTCCAGACTGTAGGGAAGACACGGGTGGGAGCCCGCTAGGGTCCGATTGCATGGTTATCCCCCAGTAGCCGCAGCAGATTTCACAACCCAGTCTCGCAGAAGGCTGGCTCGTGACGGACAGTCCGCATGTAGATCGAAGGACTGCTTAGGCAGTCCCTTCTGGGAGGGGCTATGTAGCAGTCTGGAGATTCCCTGGTTGGCCTGTGTAAACTTCTAACTAAAATTATTTCATTATACACTTAGGCAACCGGTGTGGTTTGTTGAACTGGTTGCCGCGTTCGAATGCTTGACTTGCTCATCGCCAGTTTAACTTGGCGCACCTTTCGATTGCAGCTCGCGGCTGCCCGGTGTGCTGTGCACGCTCCGTGCCCCTAGCTAGAGCGTCTACGGTGTCGTACCTTTATAGCTAGATAACAGGGAATCTTTTAGTTTACCAATAAAAGTTTGCCTGTAACTCGATCCGCCTTTTCGAATCGCTCCGGGCTTCCGGCACAGGCGACCCTCTAAACACTAAACTGGCAGCATTCATTGTCATCAGACACCTCCATGCATTGTTTTTCTCTTACCTTACCAACCCAACGCAATCAGCTCAACTGGGTGAAATGTCATCCAAAAGGTATACCTAAGTAGCGGAGTATGCCAATTATTTATTCCAGGTCTTCAAAAAAGCAGTAGTACCTTTCTGCCCGTGACATGAAAATGCTTTCCTCTTTTGATCCAAGCCGTCTACTTAATAGCCGCTAGCATCTAAAGCGATCTCGGCGCTGTGCAGCGTGGTGTGACCTATTGAAACTAGAGTTCTCACCAACGAAATGCAACGTCCATGCTTACCGGTGCTCTATACACCACCACATAATAACGCTTAACGGTACATCACAAAATAACAGCTTTAGTGTGCCCGACCTCGGTGTACACAATTCCAGCTCACTGAATTTTGCGGAACAGGCGAGCTATAGCTCTGTCAATACCAGGCCTATCTTTTGCTATAAACTAAAGCCGTTGTGCTTCCTAGAGTCTCGACTCACGCTTTATAAGTTGTGTGCCCGACTTATAATAATGTACTGCTCAATAGTTTTCACTAACTCAGGTAAAACTGACAGAAAGGTTATGGAGAAAGTTCAGTGATCGTTCACTAAGTGTCTGCTAGGATCACCTGCGCTCAAGTATCAAGGACGCCGCATGCAGCCTGGTTTGGAAGCACTCTGGCTGCGAAGACTGTAAGCCAAACTTGTTTTTCTATTTTAGGTAACAGAAACATCGGACTCAAGTGTCATTGGTTTTTTCAACTGTTTAGCGATACAACTTATCCTCTACGCCAAACGGAATACATATTCTCATTACCCAAAACACGTTGCTCTATTTGTCCCAACTCCTTCCTTTATATATATGCGCACGCAAGGAATAAGCTACCGGACGCCGTCAGAGCATCTGCTGTTATCATGCAAATATCTACGTTCATAACTAGGTTACTAAGTGTCTCCAATGTAGCAGAGGTCCTGGGCATCTGCAGCCCCGAGGACGTGATCTGGAGGAACGGCCCCGATCATATATAAACTTCCGAACAAAACCAGAAGGTTGTATGAAAAATCGTAATGGGCTTGCAGCCTTGTCAGGTACTTTAACAAGCATCAACAAAGCTCCTTTCATCCCGACGCCGTTCCCTTATCGCACTGGTTGCTTTCATTTCGTCTGCATTCCGACGGCAAGCGCAGCCCCGCATGACTTAGTAGCCATTGACCAGCCTCTGACTGCATCCTTGACTACCAAGGTGCAGAATTTATGCTAAGCTTTTCACACCTGATCAACCTGCTGGTATTGCTTACGACATATGTAGATTTTCCTGTCCATTTATGCTGACCTTCCCTATTTGTCCTCCCAGCTTAACTATACGTTTCAACCTCAACGCGCCGACTAACGCAGTCCCGTCTGATCGCTTCTGCTCTCCGACTACCATGACCTTACCGGCTAATATTCGGAACACGGAAAGCTCTATACCCCTTAACACGAGTGCCACCGTGTCTTTCCCATAACTTATCAATAAACTTCTTTCTATCCTGACTTTCCTTTCCTAATCGCGCTCCGCGCTTGACACGAGAGCATTGTTGGATTTCCCACCACATAACGGTAAACATTTTGCATCCCGGCCTGTCATTTGCTAGCTGGGTTCTCTGTTTTCAACCGTTCTACGATCGGTCAGCCACACCTCAGTTCCCGACCCTAACCAAGTCTCAGCTGACCAGCCTGCTTCCCTGTGATTTCCTTTAGCCTACCAGTATATTAATGGTTTAGGCTCACTCGATACAAAGCAAGATATCCCCACCTCGACAGCCTGCTGGACTTGTTTACTCTTTGTTATTACAGCCATCTCCAACTCTAACCTATAAATCTGTCACCCAAACTTAGAATTATTCCCCTGTCTCAGTGTGCCGTCAAATCTAATCTCGTCTAATCGGTCGCCTCTCTGACTTTTCTAAACTTGCCGGCCAATGTGCGGAAGAATGAACGCTCTGTCCCAGTTATCATGAGAACCACGCTAACTTCCCATTTCTTTTCTGTAAGCGTTTGCTCGCAGCTCTGTATTTTCCTTATCGGGCTCTATGTCTTGATTTGTTTCTCAAACGATTATCGAGACCTCAGGGCCCTGCACTTTTCCTCTCTTTGACTGCTGCCAGACTATCAAAATGTAAACGGTTTAGGTATTGTATAACCAACACACAAATTCTCTAGCTACGCAAGCCATCTTGACTAGCCTACCCTACATACTTATAGACCTTTCCATTTCAAACCCGTCCATCTCTG